CAGATTTGCATTGCTCAGGCCTGACTTTACAGGGAAAACTGCTTTGGGATTGGGGTGTTTGGCAGGTGCAGCCCGTGTGGCCAAGGCCAGCACTGAAGGCAGGGCCACAGGGCGGGGCTGGGGCTACTCCCCCCAACCCCCGCCCCAGGCCAGGGCGCTCTGCACAAGTATGGAAACATTTTTCTCCTGAGTCTTCATTTGAGAACGATTTAAATTCCTGTAGATGCTGGGGTGGGGGCTGAGAACCTGGGATGAGCAGGTGGGTGGGGCTGCAGCGCTGGGAACAGTGCCAGGGAGGGAGGCCTGGGCTGGGCACCCAGTCCTGGTTTCTGTGAATCACAGGAGGCCCAGAGTGAATGGGCCTGCAATGTGTGGCTCTCAGGGCAGCACCAGAGGCATCGCTGGTGCTTAGGAAGCCACAGGTGCTCAGGTGGGAGTCCCAACAGCTTCTTGGAGAAACAGGGACTTCACCACAGCCCCGAGGAAAGGGGAGGACAGTTGGATCAGCAGAGAGAGAAAGAAAGGCATTCTAGGGGTGGAAAGAGCCACACAGAGGTGGGAGAGGGCAGGACACGTCGGAGAACAAAGGTAGCAGCTCCATGTGACTGAGAAGTAAGTAAGGCTAGAGGTAGACGGCAAAGGGTCCCCGAAGCGTCTCTGGCGCCTCCAACAACAGCCGGATAGGCCCTGCTGGCAGGTAGACCCAGGACTCTGCCCACCCTGAGGTTTACTCACTGTCTTTGCAGAGTTGAGGGGTAACCCCCATACAAGGTAATGACAGGTGCTTCCATGATCCCCAGGTCCCCCTAGTCATTCTGGGACAGAAGCCTGGGCTATAACTACCCTCGAGCTGGAGGAGGCTGCCTTACTGTTCTCTTGCGTGCTGGGTAAAGCCCCACTCAACACCACCTCAACTGTCCTTCCAGAGGCCGCCTCCATGTGCTGGACAGAGCACATCTCCTGCCAGGTTTCAGGTGGGCAGCTGGAGGGGAGCAGCGCGAGTCGAGGCCTGTGCCCTCACCTCCAGCCAGCTCACAGGAGGCTCTGATTCTGGTCCAAGTCGGGAGATTTGGAGTGCTCCTCACTCTGCAAGATCCAAATGATGGGGAGAATCCTGGCTGTGGTGTCACGTAGACCTGGGTTCAAATCCCAGCTTTGCCACTTACTAACTGAATGGCCCTCGCATGTTGCCTAAACTCTCTGTACCTCAGTTTCCTCATCTGCAACATGCGGGGTGATCTGGAGACTGTGGATGGTTGGCTGGAGAGAACACATGTAAGGTAGCTGTCCCAGTGCCTGCATGGGGGATAGAACGAGAAGCACATGAAGGGCATGCGTGCACGGGAGAAGATGAGCTGACCCAGATCAGCAGCATTTTTCCCAAATTCACACTTTGTCTTCTTCTTGGTAGGGATGACAGGGCAGACTGGACTTTCAGAGGAGAAACCAAGCCCAGAGAAGTGAATGAGTGTTGATGGCTACACTGTGGAAACATGGGGTCCGGCCTGGTCTCCCCTGCACCCCCAGCCTGCTCCATACCCATCAGGAGCCCATTGGACAGGTTGGCCCTGGGGCCTATCCCTGAGGCCAGCTATTTCCCCCAAACCTCTCGCTCCTCTGGTCAGGAGGCCCCGGCTGGCTCTTGGCCACTGCCTGCACCTACCGTGTTTGGTTCAGGACCATCGCATGCGCAAGTGATGGAAGTGGCCGGTGAACCGTGGAGGGCGTGCGGAGGCCCTATCCATGAAGCTATCTCAGTGTGTTCCGTGCACACATCCATGGTCCTCTGTTCCCTAGGAATATCATGGGGAAAGCACAGGACCGCTTGGCCTGAAGCCCCCACCCTTGCCTTTTGAAATCGGCAGGACTCCCTGCCCTAGGCTGATGGACCAGGTGTGCCCCTGCACCCTGGCGCTCACTTGCTCTCTCCTCTGTCCTGGGATAAAACAGGGTCACCTTCCCAGGCTCCACTAATGGACCAGTGCCCCAGGTGCCATGCAGACCAAGTGTCTGCAGGTCTCCTGCCTAGAGGCAGCACTTGGGTTAACCTGTGATGTTCTTCTTAAGATGATGGGATGAGGACCTCAGCTGGGTGTGTCCCCCATGGGGGCAGTGTCTGGAGCACTCTGAAGTTCTTTCCTGAACACCAGGTGATCTTAGGAGAAAAGAGATGAAGTGGGACCTGGTCTTAGGCATTGCTCAGAGTCAGAGGGCAAGCGTCTTCTGTGCCCACCTTTGGGCACAATTTTTTTTTTTCTTTTTTTGAGATGGAGTCTCACTCTGTTGCCAGGCTGGAGTGCAGTGGCGTGATCTTGGCTCACTGCAACCTCCGTCTCCCAGGTTCAAGTAATTACCCTGCCTCAGCCTCCTGAGTAGCTGCGACTATAGGCATGGGCCACCATGCTTAGCCATTTATTTTTGTTTGTTGTTTGTTTGTTTGTTTGTTTGTTTGTTTTAGTAGAGATGGGGTTTTACCATGTTGGCCAGGATGGTCTCCTGACCTCGTGATCCGCCCACCTCAGCCTCCGAAAGTGCTGGGATTATAAGCATGAGCCACCTCTCCTGGCCTGGGCACAATTTTTAAAAGAGAGACCACATCTACTAGAGCAGGGGTCCCCAACATTTGCATTGCAGACAGGACTGAACCAGTCTGTGACCTGTTAGGAACCAGGCTGCACAGCGGGAGGTGAGCCATGAGTGGGCAAGCATCGCCTGAACTCCGCCTCAGCATTAGATTCTCAGAGGAGTGAGAACCCTATGGTGAACTGCACATGTGCAGGACCTAGGGTGCGTGCTCCTTATGAGAATCTATTGGCTGACAATCTGAGGTGGAATAGTTTTATCCTGAAACCATCCCCACCCAACCACCCCTGCTCTTCCTCCCCATCCCACCCCTGTCCTTGGAAAAATCGTCTTCCAAGAAACCGGTCGTTGGTGCCAAAAAGGCTGGGGACCACTGTACTAGAGAAATGATCACAAGGACCCTGCTGGGAGAGGAGCAGCAGGAGACAGGGCCTCAGACACACGACCCATCGCGACCTCTTGTTGCTCCAAGGGGACACTGAGGCATAGGAGTTGGAGCCAAGGTGGCAGGTGGGGGTGGCAGTGCAGTGACCCCTCATGGGGAGAGGGGCTAGGACACTGCCCCAGCTGTCCTATCCAGCAAATTGGGAGAGTAGGGCTGGGGCGTGCCAGGAGCTGCCAGTGGGTCTCCCAGAGCCCATGGGTGAGAGACTTCCTTGCGCCTGAGGCCTGCCTCCTGTCTCCCTGTCCATTCTGGGGGCACTTATAGTGGAGCCTTCTTTTTTTGTGAGACAGAGCCTTACTCTGTTGCCCAGGCTGGGGCACAATGGTGCAATCTCAGCTCACTGCAACCTCCGCCTCCCAGGTTCAAGCGACTCTCCTGCCCCAGCCTCCTGAGTAGCTGGGATTACAGGCGCCCGCCATCATGCCCGGCTAATTTTTGTATTTTTAGTAAAGACAGGGTTTCACCATGTTGGTCAGGGTGGTCTTGAACTCCTGACCTCGTGATCGGCCCACGTTGGCCTCCCAAAGTGCTGGAATTACAGGCGTGAGCCACCGCACCCGACCAGTGGAGCTATCTTGTTCCCGCCAGAAGATACTTGGATTCTGCTAATAGCTGTGGCTCTTCAAACACACCATACTGGCTCTGGCTTCTCAAACTCTGTATGTGCTGTTTCCAGTCCCCCCCTGACCTCTTCCCCTTGACTTCCTCCTCCGCACTCTCTGGCATTCGGCCTAGACACTCTCTTCCAGAAAGCCCTCCCAGCTGCCAGGGTCAGGTGTGGTGCGTGGCTATGTACCTCCCCAGCACTGCACCCCCCACCCTCCCCTGTCACCCAGGGCTGGGACCTCCTCATGCTATCTCCCTGCTGCTGGATGTGAGCTCTGTGAGCTCCACGAGGAAAGTACTGGCTTAAATCACAGCACCCCAAGGCCAGAGTATAGTTGGTGCTCAGGAGGTATTTACTGAATGAATGGATGAATGAATGAGAAATGGGCCGAGACTCCAGGCTAAGCCCCTTCCTGTGGCCCAAGGACCATTTCCTCTGCATCTCTGTATCACTGCTATCCCAGTGCTTGGCACACGGCACAAAATAACAGGTCTGCATTGTCTCCTGGGAGCATGAGAGCCACGCCTGCAGGAAGAGACGTGTCTAACAGAGTGCGGCATGGGATGGCAGAGCTGTGGCCGCACACACTTTAGCAAGGACAGGTGGATTCGCCCTGCCTGGGAGACCACAGGAAGCCTTTCCTGACAGCTCATCAGCCCTTGCTGGTGGTGGCAAGTGGGGAGCCAAGAGAAGGAATCAGGTATTTGGGGAAATTCCATGCCTGACAAAGGGATGCGGTCAAGAGAATGTGTCCGCCCAGGCTTTCCTCCGGAGAGGAGGATGGCACCCTCTCACTTCCTTGTCTTTCTGCCGACTGAAATCCATGCCGCCAAGCTGTCTTCTTCAGTTCAGGGCCCTACGGCTCAAGCCCTTAAAGATGTGCAGATCATGGGGGGGGAAACTGAGGCACCCAGACTAACTCACGCCTTTCAGCAGCGCAGGCGTGAATAGCTGCTCAATTCACGCCTACAAACGGCCCTCCTTCCTTCCTCAAGGGCTCCCTAACCCTCAGACACCTGGTTCCTAGGGCCCTGGCTAGGAGGAAGAAGAGAATAGGAACCATCCAAAGAGCCTGCATTGTACTCCAGTGAGTGACTCATGCAGGGAACGCTCTGTCCCCCTTGACAGCACTTTTCCATGTGCTGGTTTGGTCACTCCCAGGAGCTATGATCAGAAGCCCTTTCCACTGTTCCCACCTGCCGGGCTGCATCCCTGGGCCCCCCACCCTCTCCCCAGCTGGAGGCAAGCTGGGAGACCAGACAGGGAAAAGCTCCTCCAGGCTCAGAAGACACTGGGCGGGGCCTGTGAGACCAAGGTCATGCCTCAGTTTCTCTCGCTCTGAAGGGGAAGTGACAGAAAGGCCAGTCAGTGTGTGGTGGCTTTTTATTACTGGCATGGAGTGGGTGTAGGGGCAGGCAGGAGTGCTGGCTCCCAGCTGAGACAGCTCCCCATTTCCAAGCAGGAGCTGCCTGGGGTCCCAGGAGAGCCCGGGAGCTGGGGTGTGCATGCGGAGGGCAGGTGCGAGCTAGGAGGAGATCTTTGATGAAGGAGGCTGGGCTCTACTTCCAGCGCCCGGTGACTTTGGCCTTCCCGCGGGTCTTGGAGCTGCAGGAGAAGCAAGACTGAGTGACATGGGGACACAGGCAGGGTTGCAGGTCACCATGGGGCTGGGGTAGGGTGGGGGTGCCAAAGGTGAGAGGAGCAGCTGGGAGCTGCCTTCAGGGGCAGAATAAGGTAGCAACCTGAGGCCAGAGGGAGGCTTCTCCACCCCACATCCCACCCCATCAGCAAGCAGAGGCCACAGGAAGGGAAGCACAAGGCCCAGAGGAGCCTGAGAAGGAAACCTGTGGGCTGAAGCAGGAGGAAGCCCTGGGAGCCTGCGGCCCTCCAAGGAGGAGTGGGATGACGGCTGGAAGGTGGGGAAGGAAGAGGCGGGGCTGGGCTAGGCGCGGGTGACCTCAGACACTTACACTTTCTGGTTATCGTTGATCCTGTTTCGAAGAACATTGATCTGCAAGAAAAGTGGGAAGGACAAGGAGCAACACTGGAGCTGATGGGCTCCGGTTCCAGGTGGCCTGGGGCTGGGAGAGGCGCTGAGCGCGGCGGTGCAGGCGGAGGAGGAGGAGCACCAACGAGCAGGAGGGTAGGAGGATTTAGGGCAGCTAAGGGTCAAGGGGGGCCTGAAGGAGAAGCTTCCAGATGCCTCATGGGCCTTCTGCTGTGGGGTCCCAGGGCCACAGTAGGTTCAGGACGAGGGTCCCGTAAGGAGGGCCTCTGAGAGCTGGGCGCAGAGCTGGAGTTCGTGTCACGAGCCCTCCTAGCAGCCCGCCCAAGACCCCTCTGGGGCACCCTTGCCCAACTGTGCACCATCCCGGAAGCTGTGCCCTGTGAAGGGTAGCATCCCCATGCAGCACCCCTGCAGGGCACCGCCCCAAACTTTGGCAAATGTGTCCTGTTGGCCAGTCCAGAGTTCAGTGGGAAACCGAAAGAGAGAAAGAGAGAGAGAGAGAAAGAAAGAGAAAGAGTGAAAGGAACGGAGAAGGGGGGAAGGGGAGGGAGAGGGGTAAAGGAGAAAGGAAGGAAGAGAAGAAGGGAGGGAGGGAGGGAGGGAGGGAGGGAGGGAGGAATGGAAGGCACAGGCCTAGAGAGACCGTAACAGTGGCTGAACACCTGCTGAGCATTTAGTGGGTGCCAGGCTCTGTCCTGAGCGCTTTCCCAGACATAAACCCATAGGACTGCTGTGAGGACATAATCATTAATACACGGGAAATTCTCGGAACAGTGGTCAGAACACTATAATAATAATAATAATGAGTATTATTATCTCTGTCACCCTCACAATCACCCTCTGAAGTAGGCTGTAGTGCTACCTGTGGAAATGGAGGCAAGCAACCGTGGACTAACTCACCCAAGGGCACACAGCCAGCGGGGGGCACAGGTAGGAACTCGGCCCAGGCAGTATGGCTCTGAAGTCCATGCCACCGTGGCCAGGCAATACAGCCTCTCTCCGTATTGGGAGGTAGGAACACCCTCTAGCCACTGGTGCCTGAGCCTGCCCAGGGAGGGGCTCCTTACCCAGGGAGGAGTGGCGTGGCGGGAGCAGCAGAGGAGACCCTCCGGGGGAAGCTGAATTCTTCCCTTAGTTAGCAAAGAGGCCCTGGGGCGGGCGGGGGTTAGGAGGCGGTGGTGGCAGGGAAGGGCTGGCGCCTCTCTGAGCTCAGGTGTGCAGCATCGGTGTCCTCGAAGCCATTTCCTTGCCTGGCATTTGTTCACCGAGGACCCTCATTAATGCACACAGGACCCTGAAAGGCTGTGGGCTTGAGGCTCAGCCTGACTGTGCCTGCCAGGGCCTTGGGTGTGCGTGGGGAGAAGCGCCTCCCTGGTGGCAGCCCTCCCCCTCCACTGGGGGTCCTAGCTTGGTGCATTCTGATTCTTGTATCCAGCTCAGTGCTCTGAGCTGCTGCCTCGACATGTTGGAGACCCCCAGGGTTGGAACCCCAGGAAAGTGTCTCTGCTCAGCCCCAGCGAGCTCTCAGACACTTCCAGCAAGCGGCGGACGCGGAACCCTGCTGAAGGCCAGACAGCAGGGGCAGACGAAGCAGCTAAAGGGGGTTGGTGGGGACTAGGGACAGGGACCCGGTGACCTGCAGCAGTATTGCAGGGCCCAGTGAACCAGGAAGAGCGTGTGACGGAGAGGCTAGGCGGGGGACTGCATGGCGCCCCACCTCGTATTTCTGCTGCTTGAACTTCTCCTGCAGATCGAACTTCTCTGCCTCCAAGTTATAGATGCTCTGCCACAGCTCCTTGGCCTTCTCCCTGCAGGGGCACGGGTGGGAATGCGGTGAGCGCCGGCAAAGGACAGCCCTCGTGGGCCTCTGTCCTGTTCCCGGCCCAGCCCCCAGGGGCCCAGCCCTCCTTCTCACCTCCAGGCCTGTGAGGGCACCCCAGCCCACCCTGTGAGCCTGGCCCAGCCTGGGGACCAGACGGCAGCCACCAGTGCTCAGGAACGGACACCAGGAGCTGCCAGGGCAAAGCTCTGGGAACACGTGGGCAGCGGGAGAAGCCCTTCTGGCACAGGACAGCATCTAGTTCAACCCCGTCCTGACACCCGTGTGCAGGTGGGGAAGGTGAAGCTCAGAGAGGTGGGGCTCCTGCTCACTTCTCTTTGCCCATCAGCAAAGCCCAGAAAGGAGCTGGCCCGACCTGCTGGTGCCCAGCCCTGGTCCCTCCAAACTTGCAGTGAGAAAATATGTGAAGCAGTCACGCCCTCTGGTGGCTCATAGCAAGAAGTGCCCTCAGCCCGACTCCCCCTCCCCGCCAACACAGCCACCAGATTCGGGCTGTGCCCCAGGACCACTCCTGCCAGCCCCCACCTCAGCTGATCTTCATTCAGGTGGTCGATGGCCAGCACCTTCCTCCTCTCTGCAAGAATCTTCTTCTTCTTTTCCCGCTCGGTCTGCCTCTTCCCACTTTTCCGCTCTGTCTGAAGGTGGTGGGAGGCAGTTAAGAAAACTGGCTACACTGCCCCCTCCCTGTCCCCTAACCCTCCCCGAACCCTCTGGGAATAGAGCAAGCCTGCAGGAGGGCCAGGTTCTTACGCTCTTTTTTCTGCCATACCCCACACTACCAACTACACGCATTCCCTGGGGAAACTGAGGCAGGGGCAAGGAGGATCACGTCAGCCTCTTCCTCCTTTACTGAACTAACCTCCTCCAGCTCTCACCAGCCTCCCCGCTCCCCAGCCAGCCCAATCTCTACACTCTTCCCCTCCAGCAAGGTGCCTTCCCCTCCCAGGGAGTTCCCCAAAACTACAGGGAGGAAGAAGGTTTGAGGTTTTGGTACCCACCTGGGCCTGCTAAACCAGGAAACCATGAGAGAGAGGCCCAGAGAAAAAGACCAAGACCGCAACAGAGACACAGAGAGAAGGCAGAAGACAAAGGGAAGGAGAGACACGGAAGAGAAGATTCAGACACTTGCTGTAGGCAGCCAGGCTTTCTAGGACGTGGGTCTGGGGGTTACAGCAGGGACTGCTTTGATAGCAGGGTGATGATGCCAAAGTCTTGGCTGGTGTGGTCACCATGGGGGCAGAGGCAGGGGTGGCCTAGTTCTGAGCTGGGGACTGAGCCGGAAATCTAAGGAAATGTTTTGATTCCGTCACTACCTAGATAAAATCAATTTCACATAGCCCTGCTCCCTTAGGAATGGAGGATGTGGGAGGAATGGCACACAAAATTAGGGACTGAGAGTGAGTTTCCAGGACCAAACAACCGCACATCTGTGTGGCACATAGATACTTTCCATGGTAGCTCATTTGAGCTTCTCAAACCATCAAGGCAATATGAGTGCCGGATGAGGAAACCGAGGCTCAGAGGTTGCAAAAGGTCACGCAACTGTATGTGGCAGAGTCGGCTCTCCAGCCAGAACTCTTAGCACAAGGCTTTTCCAGCTGCACCCATCCTCCTTGGGGGCTCCTGAGCACTGCTGGGGCCAGACATGGGGTGCACCACTGAGGCCCCAGGCTCTCCCTGTAGCCCCTACCCCAGCAGGCCCCTCCTAGTGCAAGCCACAGTCAGGCTGAGAACCAGCTCGGGGCCTAGGCACAAGGAGACATGAGTCTCCCACCTGCAGCAGCTGGGAATCTCTTCCTGGGATCTGATCTAACGTCTACCTGCCGCGGTGGACAGCTCATTCTTCAGGGCTATACCAGGTCCTCCTGGCGACCCACCTACCTTCTGGATGTAACCTCCGAAATGCATCATGTTGGACAGGGCCTTCTTCTTCCGGGCCTCGTCCTCCGCCTTCCTCCTGTTCTCCTCCTCCTCCCGTCGAGCCCTTTCTTCCTGATTGACAGGGAGGAGGAAGAAAGCAAATTAGGGAAAGGATGGGAAACCCCAGCTCTGGACTGAAGCTTGTGGTGTTTACGAGTGAGTTCAGCCATCTCCCTGCTGGGTAAGGAGCTGTCTGAGGGGGTAGCTCCCAGCACAGGTCTGGTCCACAGGAGTCCACTGAGTGAGAAATGACGGCATCAATGGGTAGGTCCTGATGCCTTAATATGAGGTCTCGCCATCCCCTCAAGCTGGGAGTGCCCCAGGAAGACCTGTTGCTCTGGAAATGCCTGCAGCAGCTGCACAGGAAGAGAGCTACAGGGCCTTCAGTTCCCACGAAGTCTGCACTGGGGAAGGGATGGTGACTGGAGAGTCTTATAAAATGACACGTTCATAAGGACCCAGGCATGCCTCTCTTGTTTGCTGATGTATTATCAGAGCCAAGACACTGCCCAGCACTTCCTAGTTTGATATCGTCTCTTGACTGAATTCAGGTTGATGAATAAGTAGAGAGGGGCCTGGGAGCCCAGCAGGAGCTGGGAGCACGGGGGGGGGGGGGCTCCGCGGGCCTGGGCCGGGGTCACTCACAGCCAGGCGGTTCTGCCGCTCCTTCTCCCGCTCGCTCCGGATGCGCTGCTGCTCCGCCCGCTCGGCCCGACGTCTCTCCTAAGGAGAGGAGGCAAAGCCCGCCCAGGTGTACATGGAGAGAAGGGGACGTGGCAGGTACAGGAAACGTCATGGGGTGGCAAGGGAATTCCTGGGGGGGTCCCTCCCAGAGTCTTGAAGCAGTGGTGCCCGGCCCCCAAGGGCTTTTACTTTCAACCAGCTCCAGTGACCCACCTCCAACATTCCTCATGGCGAGACCGCCCGCCACAATCGGGAAACATCAGGTGGGTTCTTCCTGAGCTCTGCCCCCGCCTCCAGCCCACCCTGCCCTGGCAGCTGCTCTGTGCTATATGCTTGGATAGAAGGCCAAGTCATTGCTCCAGCCAGAGCAGCACGTCTGTGGGAAGGCAAGTGAGCCATCAAAGCAGCCTCCACACTCTGCAGGAGAAGGATGTGGGATTCTGCAGGTCGCACTCAAGTTCCCTTCATCGGTGGGGGAAGGGGAGGCAAGGGCAGGGGTGGGGCAGCAGACGTGATTAGTCGGTCCACAGCCCGGGCCTGAGTTAGGCCTGGGGGAGGCCTGAAACAGATCAGACTCAGCTCTTGTGGTCAAGAAGCATCCAGTCTGGTGGGGAGAAAAGGCAGGGACCCAAGAAACCAGTCAGGGCTGCGGGAGCAGTTCAGAGTGCTGGAGGGCCCCTGAAGGAGATCTCACACCTAGCCGGGTTTGAGGCACAGGGAAGGCTGTCCGGAGGAGGTGGGGCCTCACAAAGGGGATGGAGGACAGATTGGGCCATCAGGGAACGATGGGTGGGCAGACTGGACACCTACAATCCTGTCTTTGAGAGAAACGAGCTCCTCCTCCTCCTTCTTCCTGTTCTCAAAGTGAGCCTCGATCAGCGCCTGCAGCTCATTCAGGTCCTTCTCCATGCGCTTCCGGTGGATGTCCTGCGGGTGGACCGCTGTGGCTCAGAGGCTGCCACTCCAGAGTCCAGGGGAGAGTGGGCGGGGTAGACACCCCCCAACACAACGCAAAAGACCTCAGGCAGGGCCTGGCACCTGGCCAGGGAAGGGGTAACTGTGGCCTGAACCCAGGACCATGCTCGTGGACGGGCACTCAGCCTCACTCAGCCTGGCTACTGCTGCACCCCGTTGCGCACTACCCCAGCCCAAGGCCACGAAATCCCTGTCATCGGGGGCCCGTGGGACTATCCCCAACCCAGGCCTGCTCAACCCACAGCCACCGCTCACATCAAAGTCCACTCTCTCTCCATCGGGGATCTTGGGAGGCACCAAGTTGGGCATGAATGATCTGTTGGAGAGAGGAATCGTCAGTGAGCATCAGCCCCATTCTGGACCTAGGGACTGAAGATGCCCAGGACGGGCAGGACCCTGCTCCCTCCTAGAAAATCTTCAGGCACTGCCCCGACCAGCCACAGCAGTGATGTTAACACTGACGTCAACAATGGCGTCCTCAGCCTTGCTCAGCACCCGGGAATGCACAACACTCTTTCACATGTGCAATTTCATTTCATGCTCACGATATGCCCATGAAGCAGGCACCATTAACCTCACTTAGGAGAACTGGGGCTTGGGGAGGCAGAGTGACTTTCTCAAAGCCACGCAACTTGGAATCAAAGAAGCTGTGACAAGATGGCATGCTCATCAGACTCCACATCCCGTGACGGACCACGCAGAAACCCGCCATGAAGCTGACACTCTTGTAGTTTGGTCCTGGCCCCAGCACATGCCGAGGCCCGGGGGCTCTCTGATTCTTGGTGTCCCCCTCTCCCCGTCCTCAGGTGTGTGGAGCTGCGATGAGATACTGCAATGCGCGAGAGGGCAGGAAAGGGAAAGGCACCGGGCAAATGAACGGATCTGGAATGTCTTGGGCTGGTTTCAGAAGCCCCCACTGAAATGGGAAGAGCCTGTGAGTGGGCAGAGGTGCCACCTGCTGGCAGGGTTGGCATCATCAGAAGAGAAATGCTCCCTATTCCCCAGCCCCCCAGCACACACCACCTCCAGGTGGGCTTCAAGCCGCCCTGCCCTGCCCTCTCTCAGCTCTCTGAAGCCGCCATGCCTAGGCTGGCACGGTTCCATGGTTTGGATCCCCACAGTTTGCTTCCCTTTATCCCCAGGTCCCACCTCAGCCATGGAGGAGGGTGTTCTGGCCATGCTGTGAGAGGAGAGTGTTCAGGGCCCTTCCTCTAGAAGAACATAGCCCCGCCCCGCCAGGGTGCACAATTGGTGCTGAGTGTTGGGTGGAATTCAGCCCTCACTCCTTCCCTTAGGAAGAGACCCTTGTGCAGTACACAACTTGTACAACTGTACGTGGTGGTCTGTACCCACCAATCCCCCTGCTGTGTCCACTGCACCACACTGCACCCCTGTTCCATCATCATCCTGTCTCCCTGAGCCTCTGCTCTGAGTTCTACCCAGGTGCATCCCACTCACCTGGGCTTGGGTTTGGACTCCTCCATCGGGCCATCTGGAGGAGACAGAAGCACGAAGCCATGGGTCAGGCGGCCCCAGATGTGGTCCCAACTCTACCCTCGATGAGCTACACCCCTGTTGGTTTCCATGTCTCCATCTGCACAGTGAGTCCCCTCCAGCACTGGGGAGCCCTGATCCCAGGGGCGTCCAGGAGAATGAAGCCAGCAGAGGTTGCAAATGCCACCCTCCCTCTCCATGGAGTTCTGCAGGGCGGAACTTCACATAAAGACTTCCCACACTCACCAGTTCAGGGCAAAGCAGTTTTGCTACTGTTGGGTTTCACGGTGAGGAGGAGTCCTTTGGAAAGGTCCCCAAGGGGTCCTGGCCCTAGAATCCCCTCCCAGGTCTTTGCCTCCTTTGTTACCCCCTGAACTTCCTGGTGGCCATAGGGAAGAAGCTGACGTGATTTCAAGCCCCAACTGGTTGTCCCCCCCTCCCCTCTGGAGAAGGCTCTGGGACCACCTAGAATCCTGGTGAAGGCTGCCGCATGATGATGACCGCAGCAATGAGCCACCATGACCATCTGTGCCTTGGGATCTCATTCTACAGATACCACATCCTACAAATGATTTCGCGTAAGCTCTGGGAGCTTCATGTGTGGGTATGACTTCTGGGTCCCATTGCTCTATCCAGACCAGAGGGCAGGACAGTGGCCCCCTTTCCCACTGGGTGCCACCATTGCAGCTTCTCTGGGATGAGAAGGGGCAAAGTTTAAAGCTCAACATCGAAAACTTTGCAAGTGCCACCAAGTTCTGTCCTCTCCTCTCCCAAACCCTCTCAGTGCCCACCCACTTCCCTGAAAGGAGCACTGTGGGCACTCTCCTCCAAAGCTGCTGTGAGGGGTCCTCAGCCACGCTCTGCCTCTCTCCCGTTATCCTTACCTTCAGCCTCCTTCACTTCCTCTTCTTCTCCAGCTTCTAAATGAAACATGAGAAATCAGTCAAGGTCCTTGTTCTGAGCTCAAGTCGTCCCCCGCCAAGCACCTCCCCCACAAATAAGTCCTAGCCAAGATGCACCCTGTTGGTTTTGGGGGTCGCAGAGCTGTCTCTCGCACACATGTTCCCCTGGGCCCAAGACTCTGACTCAAGAGAGGTGCTGGATCAACGTTTGTTGATTGGACAATCAACCATTGAATCTCGGCCAATAGGAGGAGCAGGTGCACATGGGAGAGCCTCTTCTGGGGGGTTTCTTACTGCCTAGGAATGGCCCTGGGGGCTCTCGCCACCCCTGAGGCTCCTGCACCCTCATCCAGAGACTCACCCTCTGCCTGGGTCTCCTCGGTCTCGGCGTCTGCTTCAGCCCCACCCTCAGCACCCTCCTCCTGCTCTGGAGAAGTAAAGCAGAGACAGTGAACAAGCAGGCCCCACTCCTGCCATCAGGCAGAACCCGGAGCAGAGAACGGGCAGTGAGGAGTGCGGATGGGGTTAAGACATCTAGGTCCGGATGAACTGGGGGGCAACTAACGTGAATGCCAGAGAGGTTGCCATTCTCGCTTTTGACTGTCGGCTGCCTCCCCCGACCCAGCTTAGCCCACTTGTCCCGGTGACCTCCCTGATGATGGCACTCCACCCCATTCCCCAAGTTGCCAGCCCAGAGGTTCCACCCTGTGTCTGGCACCACAGGACATGCCCTGCTTAAGCTAAGTTCTCCGGAAGCTCCTCTCCTGAACCTAGTGACTCTGGACACCCTCCATCCACATCTCAAAGAAACGAAAAGAGTAGGACTGTGTGGCTGGATGGCACGCCCCAAATCGGGATCTTCACACTATCCAAAATGTGGGCAGGATTTTTCTATTTTCACCCACTTGATTGACAGGATGTGGCCTGCATCCCAATCAGGGACCTGGACTAGACAGACAGACAAGGCAGGCAGGACGCCGCCTGGCCTGGGCTCTGGCCTGGGCTCTGCCTGCAGGAAGTGATCTGTGATGCCCGATCAATGTTTGTTGATTAGGCGACCAATGTTTGAATGGTTGACGCACTGGGAAGTGGGGGCCTCTTGGCAGAGGGAAAAGAAAAAGCCTCAGGCAGGAGGAAGACACCATTGTGGGAGAAGGATCGGCCTTCAAGCTCTCTATCCTCCCTTCCCGTTCTGAGTCCTCTCTGAAGCCTGGAGATGCCTTTTCCTTGATCCCTGCAGGAGGCTTACCCCAAAATGATCCTTTTAGAAGGTGTGAGAGCCGAGGGCTGGCGAGGAAGAACAGGGCCATTGTGGGGTCCACCTTTAGGCCATCTTGCTCACACCTCTGCCACCTCATCTGACATGTCATTACATGTACAACACATGCCACCTCACCCAGTGGCCATGCCACATTGCAGGATGGGGAGCCCACCGCCTCCCTGGCCCGCCTACTGCATCTTGAGATATCGCTGTCAGAACGCACTTTCTAAAATTAAGCCCTAGTCTCACTCCCTTGCCCTGGTCCTGTGCCCTCCATCAACAGGGCACATCTGAAGGCTGACGTCATGTCCTTCCTGCTCTGGCTATTTCCAGCCCCCTTGGCTGCTCTCCAGAGGACTGTCCCCAGACACCCCAACCAACACCCTGGCCACCCTGTCTGGGCACTGTCCAGCTCCTAGGGAGGGCCCAGCACAGAACACTGGGACATGTGTGGGGGCAGGGTGGCGCTGCTGGCTTCCAGATGCTGGGCCCTCTCTATGACCACATGTGGGGCAGCTTGGGAAACCAGCCAGCCTGGGTCCCCCCACCACCCAGCCCAGGGGAAGGATCAGAAACCAGGGAGAGGAGCCAGTGACCCTGAAGGTCAGACATGATGACCGGCTCAGAACTGTGACCCTGCTCTGTCGGAGGCTGGGGAGGAAATGACTGCCCCACTCCATCCCTGCCCCTCACTCACACACACCCCCCGCCCCCACAGCAGGGTCCCTGGACAAGCAGGCTGCACTCAGGACGGCAGGCGCAGAAAGCAGCACAGAAGGAAAGGCTGTACTACCGTCTTCGTCCTCTCTCCAGTCCTCCTCTTCTGAGGTTCAGGGAGTGGCCGCAGCGGAGGGGAAAAGCGAGACAGGTTAGTGTGGGAGCAGAGAGCCCGGGGCGGGAGCAGCCCCCAAGCGCAGGGGTTTTACGAGTGTGGGCTTTGGAGTTAGGCCAGCGTTCCAATTCCCAAGCCACGGCTTTCCAGCAACAGGGACCACTCTCTTAGTTACTTCCTTGTGCCTCAAGCGCCTCATCAGTAAAATGGGAATCATTCTACTCACTTCTCAGCCGTTGTGAGGACTGAATGACCTAGCGTGCATAGAGTGCCCAGCAGGTGCCCGGCACAGGAGGGGCATGCGCTCTGTGGTAACTGCACTGCATCTAGACGACAGAGCCTCGGCTTCCCTTTTACTAAGACAGAGGCCCCCAAAGAGCAGAGAGTGGGGGGCAATTCGCTCCCATCAAATGTCCTGCCTTCAATGAACCTGCCCATGTTCCTGCTCTGAATGAAGCTCTTGGATATTCTGCAAACCATATCCAGTTTCTACACTTTAGAAAGCCTCACTGGAGAGAGCCTGGATCCAGGAGAGATTTGCCCGGCCTGCTGGGAGGAGGCTGCCCCATCTAAGAAGGGCCCGGCATTATCACCCTAAGGGAAGAGACCGCATCTGCAATAGTTGTTCTGTGCACAAATATCTGCCCAAAATACAGTTCCAGCAAGTGGAATAATTCCTCATCTGGAAGAAAGACACGCGGCACTGTCTATCCTGCAGGCTTAGTGGATGTCCATCTGGACATTGCTCTCCCCTGATCATTTGCAGCCAGCTCCTCAGCTGTGTGGGAGGTGGGTCTCGTCTGTCCGTGGCAAGCAAGGCAGGCGCTACACGGCTCAGACCCCAGCGCGGTGGAGAATGACTGTAAAGTCACAGCCAGATTCTACTGCGTGTGGCAGGCAGGTGGGTCCCTAACCCAGAGACCTACGTCTCAAACTCCACCACCCCAAACCTGTTATAAGGAAGTGGAAAATCCTCCAGAACAAAGGGAGGGCTCTCATACGAAGAGTCTGTTCAGGGAATGCAGCGGAATTTGGAGCCAGCTAGATTTTTGATTCAAAAAAATATTTCCGACAGCTTCTGAAATAGCTGGTATTCCTTGAAAACTAAAAAAGACTCCTGTGGCCTTTTCCAGTTTCTCTTGTGAATTTCTCTTCTGTGTCCTCTTTGGCCGGACACCCCTAGAACAGCCCTAAATGCGCAGGTGGGTCCCCGTTTTCCCTCTGAACCATGGGGAGCAAGGGAGGAGCCACTGGGCTCCCTCCCCAGACCTTCAGCAGAGATCCTTCTCCTAATGTCCACATGCCACATGCTGAAGGGACCTGAGCACTAAAAGGCAGGGTCCACCTGCCTGGGGGGTAGAGGGAGGACTGGGGCGAAGCCTCTGGATCATTTCCATGTGCCAAGCTCTCAGGAAGAAGGGAGGGTGAGGGTGTTCTTTCAGGGAGGTGTGGGACCTAGGGCTGAGGAGGGCAATGGGTTAACTGATCAGAATAGGAGCAGCAAGATGGGCCTCTGCAAGGTCAGAATAATGACAAAGCTTCACGCCGAGATAAGGGGCCTCAGATCACTGAGCAATTTCATACTCACAATCACATTTGAGAAATTACTAAATGGAACATTTGTGGGCGTGATCATGGCATTGTGGTTATGGTTTTAAGTGGTGCGTATCTCTTAGAGATACACTGAAGCGAAACCTTGAAGCATGAAATGACGTGGTGTCTGGGAACGATTTTGAATGTCTGCTCCAAAGTAACTGGGGAAAATGGAGTATGGAGGAAAGAAGATTGACCCTAGGTTGATGATTATTAAAGCTGGTAATGGGTACACTGGGTAGGGGGAGCACTGTTATTATTGTTATTGCTAGCTTTATATGCATTTACATTTTCCCATGATAAAAGGAAAAAGAAGCAAAACTAATTAGGAAAAGCGGTCATTGTGTTTGAAGCAAATGGCAAAAGCAGAGCCAGGTTGCAATCGTTTGCCTCAAGACCCGAGCAACCCAGGTAGGACTGATTCCCATCTCAGGGGGCCCTGCTGTTGGAGGATCTTGCTCAGCTGAGAGTGAGGAGCAGGGACGGATGAGCTGCTTTCCCAGGGCTCCCAGGATTTCCACTGAGCCTGCCGCTTTCTGGCTCTCCACCTGCCTAAGGTACATACCTTCAACAGCTGCTTCTGCTCAGAAGAGAAGTCCAGGTAGCAAGAGAAGAGAGAAGAGGTGGATCAGTTTCGAACCATGCTGTCTGTGATCCAAATGAGTACACACGTTTACGCTTACCTTCCTGCTCCCTAAGAGCAACAGGAAACACTGTCAGTAGCTCACACACACACACACGCACACACACACACATGCACACGCACACACGCGCGCGCGCACACAGGCCTGCACACATATGCACACATGCATGCATACACACACATGCGCGCAAGGCTTGCACACATGCACACACGCATGCACACACACATGCACACACAGGCTTGCACACGCTGGCCTTTCCCCAAAGATAATCCCCACTTTTTTTCCCTTGTTGCCTAGCGGGGTCCATGCTGCCCTGCCCACCCTGCAATGACACCCACTAGCCCAGCCTGCCCTTCCCATGCAGGGCTGCCTCCTACCATGCTCAGCAAGTCTCCACCCCAGCCAGCGTTCTGCTTACTTACTCTTTCCATCTTTGCCCAGGCTGTACCCCTTTCTAGGAAGTCCTGCCCTCGCCCAAATCTCTTGTCTCTCCAAATTCTACACAGGTAGGACCTGCCTTCTCCACAGCCCCGTGGCTATTCAGCCCCTGAGCTCTCTCCTCAGAACCCCTGCATTTCCAACAGCCCGCCCTCCACACTGGGCCCCACTGGCTAATTTCTTCCCCCAGTTTATGTCTTAACATCTCAATGGGAGAATAAGTTCTGTGAGGTTGGGAGCCGTGCCTAGACCTCTGACTCCTCCCTGGTGACCGCCATTCTCCGTTGTTATTGGATGGCTGTGTCCCACACCCTGGTTTCCTTCTGGGCCAGGGCTGTGGGCAGGTCACTGCCAGGGGAGAGCAGGGACCCAAGACAAAGTGATAACACCAGGTTCTGAGCTGGGTTTTAGGGGCACAATCAGCTCTGTAACCCCCAAAGAGTCATTGAACCTTTCTCAGTCAGTTTCAGGAGACCCAACGTCTCAGCTTCTGTGTTCATGGCCTGTCCCCTAGTCAGGACAGGCCAAGAATCCCGATGACCCCGGAGCTGAACCTCTGTGCTTCCCAAAGTCCCCCAGCCTGTGCTCTGCCTGGGTTCTACAACTTTTATCGTGGAGATAAGGTCTCCATATCCTGGCTACTCAGGTGGAAAGGAAATGGCTGTATCTCTCCCACAGTGCCCAAAACACACACAGCTACTTCCTCCCAGAATCCCAGGGCAGCTGGGCGGCTCCTGGACCAGGTGTGAGGGCGGCGGGAGGGGGACCCCACTCAGCCAGGATGCTCCAGATACTCACTCCTCCTCGTACTCGTCCACCACCTCTTCCGTGTCAGACATGGTCTCTGCTCTCCCTCCAGAAAGAGAACACAGTCAGTGCGGGTGCAAAGGGAAGCCTGCCTTCCTCAGAAGAGCTCTGTCCCCCGTTGTACAGAGATCAGAGAGGCGCGGGGTGAATCTATTTCCACCTCTGATTAGCTTTGTGACCTGCAGCAAAAAAGCCTGTTTCCTCCCTGCCACGGGGAGATAGTGACACCCACGTGGCAGCAAGGCCACCTGCTGATGTTCACGTCATTCCTTGCCCCTGAACAGGCAATACTGCCTGGGATGCTATTTCTCGTTTGGGACACTCAAGGCGATGCCTGCAGTTTCTCAGGCTTTCCGTCCACTCTGCCCACCCCCACTCCACAGGATCTGTTTAGCACTGCACAAAGCTTCCCCAGGAGAGCGGTCAAACCAGCCGTGGCATCTGTACCATGGAATACTACTCAGTGATAACAAGGAATAAACTGTGTATACATACAACCACTGGCATGCATCTCCAGGGAATTCCACTGATTGAGGAGAAAAAGCCAACTCAGAGGGTCATATACTGTAGAATTCCATTAGTATAACATTCTTGGAATGGCAACACAGACGCATGGTTGCCGAGGGTTCTGAGGCAGCTGGGAGGGGCGCGAATGTGGCCATGAAAACACACATGGACCGGGTGTGGTGGCCCATGCCTGCCATCTCAGCACTTGGAGAGACTGGGGCAAGAGGATCCCTTGAGCCCAGGAGTTTGAAACAGCCTGGGCAATGTGGCAAAATCCCGGCTCTACCACAAGAACAAAAATTAGCTGGGCGTGGTGGTGCATGAGTATAGTTCCAGCAACTCAGGAGGTGGAGGTGGGAGAATCGCTTGAGCCCAGAAGGTTGAGACTGCAGCGAGCCCCGGTCCACTGCACTCCAGCCTGGTCAATAGAGTGAGACCCTGTCTCAAAAAAAAAAAAAAAAGAAAGCACACAGGAAGGATCCTTGTGGTTTGGGATCTTTTCAGCATGTCCACTGTGGTGATGGATACATGAACCCACACAGGTTAAAGTACAGAGTTTCACACACACACACACACACACACACACACACTCACAGTGCAATCGTGGGCAAATCCGAATAAGATCATAGATTGGTTGTATTGATGTCCAGTCTCCGTTCTGATATTGTACTAGTTTTGCAAATGTTGCCCTTGAGAGACACTGGGTAAAGTGTGTAAGCGCTCGCTGTGTAAGACAACTGCGTATTAGTCTTTAAGTATCTCAATGAAAATTCCGATTAAAGAAAATGTTCCCTGCGGAACTCATCCCGAGATCATCTTCTCACTGCACCGGGAACAGATAATCTGGATTCAGATCCTCTTCCATTAGCTCGCCGAGGGTGTTTAGGCAAATCTTTTTAACATCTCCAGACCTCAGTCCTTTCTCTGTCTCATGGAGATAAAGTGTCCACATGCTGGCTACTCAGGGTCTTTGTGAGGCTCCAGTTGACATTAACAAAAGGGGAAGGCATTAGGCAATGTCAGGTGTTGCCGTGTGCGTGTAATCACAGGGAGGGGGCAGAGAGCAAGCACTTTAGTGTGAGACTAATCTCGCTTTGAACGCTGGCTGTAGCATGCGTTGGCCTGCGACCTTGGCAAGGTCGTTTAACCTCCCTACATCTCAGCTTCCTTTGCTGTGAAGTTGCTGTTCTTCTGGGGCAGGTGTGAGGAACACAGCTGTGTGCAGTGTAGGCATTCAGCTAATAAGTTCTGTGACCCAGCCCTCCTGGGCCATGACAGTGCACTGCTCCAGGGACACAGTCACATTGTTTGAAACATGAACAGCAACCCTGCCGTAGTGCAATAAGCCAGCCCCATAACCTCCCTGATGTCGGCTTTCAAGGGAGAGAATGGACAGGGCGATGTGAGAGTGAGGCGATGCTCAGGACCACCCTCCAATGCTCCTCGTCTGCTGCCCGCCCCCTGCCCCACTCACATCTGCCAACGCTGCAGCACCAATTTCAGACCCAAACTGCAGGATGAGGACAGAGGCACACAGAGAGTCCTGCTCACTCCCTCACCACCTCTCCCTGCACATCTCCCCATAGTGGCTGAGAACAACCCCAGGCACTCATCTGTGGACATCCAGCAAGAGCCAGGGCTCTGGTTAGGTGGAGTGATGTCTGCCATAAGGCAGCCCCTTTGAGGCTGAGTGGTTCCAAGGGAGCTGCCACTCCCCAGATGCCCCTCTGGGTGGAGACTTCTCCAGACTCAGCACCCACTGCAGCCCTGGACTGACTGTCTTCAGACCCTGCTCCCATTATGTCCAGTCCTGCTGGGTTAGGGACAGGCAGGGCAGCATCATAGTGGGTCCTTCCCTGCTCCCTCTGCTGGAGCAGGATGAGGACAGTGAGGGAGGAGCCCTGTTTACAAGGAGCTCTGGACAGCAGCTCTGAGCCACTGTTTTGCCCCAATGTCCAGCGTGGGGTGGGTGGGGAAAAGAAGAGAAATCGAATGTGCGAGGTGTTATCATGGGAAAACCGAGCCTCATTCTGCTGAAAAAAGACTCAAACCCCAGAGAGTCTCCAAATGAGTCTTAGGATGAGCGTGGCCAAAGAATAGCCGTTCTAACCCCAGGATGAGTGTGGGTGACAAGTGTTGCCAGAAGCCCCAGGGGAGCAGCCAGAACGAGTGACTCGAGAACTTGAGGTACTGCTACCTGAGCCCCAGGAGGAGCCTGTCACTCAGTGGGAGGGAGAAAATTCTCAGAGGAACCACATAGCTTCTAGCTTTCTCTCCTCTCCTCCCCTGCCCTTCTACCAGTTCAGAGCCACTGGGCATGGTGCTGGGGCTCAGGGGAGGACAGAGCAGCCTGACTCCTCTCCCTGTTCCTGGGAGCACCACTCAGCTCCCAAAAATAGCACGCAGACATGGAGGATGGAAGAGGGCTTGCAGCCAGCCCAGAGGACACCACCAAGCCAGTGGCTCAAAGGCACGGCCTGATGCAGGGGAAAGAGGTGGCTGAGACTCGGGGCTGCAGAATGGGAGAGGGTCACGAACCCGGCAGGGCTAGAGAACAGAATGTCCTGAAACACCTGTGTCCTCGAACCCAAGCCCCGCCCACTTCCACAGGCAGCTTTCCAGCCTAACACGTTGACAGCCAGGAGATCAGAGTCACCTTTCTCGGGGAGTAAAGCAAAGACAATAGAAGGCATGAAGCATGCTGACCTTCGGGTCAAAACCACCTGGGTTGAAAACTTAGATTTTGCTGTGTGGACTTACTTCAGTCACTTAGCCTCTCTGACTTCAGTTAACCAACTATAAAACAGACGAGCCTTCCGTTCTGGCCTTGTAGAAAGAGTCTCTGAGTTTCTGAGGAACATGGGCCCCACCCCTCAATCCTTGTCCCCAGCATTCAGCTGGGATTTTCCTAAGCCAACAGCTGTGAGGCCGCCAGGAGAGTGAAGATAAGAGGATGGGGAGAGGGCAGGGGGAGTGGAAGCGGGGGGGGGGCAGAAGTGGGGGGCAGCAGGCAACCCGATCCTCTCAGATTGCACTCTTGCAGAGAGCAGGAGTACTCGCCCTGTAAGACATGGGTCAGAGGAGGAATTTGGGAGGGCAGGTTGCTTCCCGGCTACAACAGGCCAGGAATGTGCTCTGAAATTCCTTACATGCCAGGCAACCCCCTCCCCAAATAGTCCCCAGCCTGCCCGGAAGTAACTAGAAACCAAGGGAGTCTGTCTCTACCACTCCCGGGCATAGAGCAAGGCCTGTCCCAAGAGGGGGTGTTGGGGTGGGATGGGACAAGGGTTACACTTGGGGACCCAAGTTAAACCCCTTAATGCCAACCAGCTGGGCTCATGCCCAAGGAAAGATTCTTCCAGTGGGGCCTTTGCCCATCTGCCCCCCAAGGGCAGCTCAGCTCTGGGTCCTGTCTGGGAGGAAGTGGCCCTGAGTCAGGCGCATCCAGTGGAATTCCCCCATCGGCCTGGAGAGGCGCTGCAGCGGGCCCTGCGCACCTGCCTTTCCTGGTGGGACAGTTTCTGAGTTCCTGGCCTTGAGAATATGACCAGGGGACTGCAGTCTCACTCTGCTCTCTGGGGCTCAGAAGGACCTGCCTGGAAAGGTATAGATGCCCCTCGGCCTGGAACAAGCAATCTGGGGGCAAGCAATCTAACCTTTTGGTTAGAGCCCCATTGTATTTAGAGCAAGCGGGAGCCTAGCAAATACTTAGCCCACTCTACAGATGAGAAAACTGAGGTCTGGGGAGGGAAAGTGACTCATCCAGGAGTCCACAACCCTACATCTTCAGCGCAGGCCCTCTAACCCTGGTCTCCAGTGGCTACCATGGGAGTCTCTCTCTCTCTCCGCTCCACTGCACTAATCTTGAGCCCAGTCCAGGCAACCCCTCCTCTGAAGTGTGGCCTCTACCAGGAGGGGCCATGGATGTCTGTGGACGAAGGCGGACTCTGGATAAGGATGCCAGGGCACAAGACCCTCACATCACCCCATCCATTCTCTGCTCGCCCCTTCCCCAGAGCTGTGCCCAAGCCTTACCTCAGATAGCAGCTGCCGACAGATCCTGGAGGCGTCTGCTCAGCCTCAGCAGGGACTGGGTGAGGCAGGGGATGGAGAGGGCTTTAAGCAGGCATGTGGGCTGGGGCCTGGTGAGCCAGCCCTGCGGAGGGAGGAATGTGTGATGGGGGACGGGCGGGGCAGGGGGATGGCGGTGGGGGTGGGGGGTGTTGGCTGCTATTTTGGCAGGTGCCAGGGACAAGGCCACAGGAACATGTACCCCACGCCATATAAGCCCATGTGGTCCTCCAGCTGCTCAGATAAGCTATTTAAAACCAGAACAGATATGCAGGGAGCAGGCATGCAACATAAACCAGCTGTCCCTCCTGAGAATCCTGATAAAGCAGAAGCCGGCAACCCACACCAGGGAGGGCCGGCCGGGAGCAAGGCTAGGGGACAGAAGGTAACCTCCAAGATGCTCCGTACGTCTCAGCACCAGGGTCTCGGGAGGCAGAGGGCAAGAGCTATGTGCTGCTCCACTTGAACGGATGTCGGGGGGAAAGATGTCTTCTGGGCTACTGGCTCCTAACGGGCTGAGCAGCCTTGGGCAGGTTGCCGGCTCTGCCAGCCTCAGTGAGGACATCTGCATTGCGGGTCTTCTCCATGACCCCCAAAGCCACGTGGCACACCCTCCTCACAGGGAATGAGCTTAAACTGCTACGGGAGGTCAGACACAAGGTAGAACTTCCAGTCAAGAACTTTGAACAGCCGGCTCATTGTGTGAGCGTGATTGTGAGGACTGCCGAAGGTCATCCCCCAACGGCTTTAAATCAACCAGTGCAGGACCATGATCTGCCAACCCTACTAGACTGCAGCCGCCTAGGTCAGGGCCAGGGGTATGCTCGCTTGCCTGCGTCTGACCACGCATGTGTTATGTCCAGGGCTGGCCCACTGCGGGGGTCGGTAGATGATGAAAAAGAGAGAGGAGGAAAGCAAGCCAGTGGGCAGCTGAGCTGACTCTCCCTCCATCTCTCTAAAGCTTCACAGCCTAGGTCCTGCCCGGCTCTGGACCAGGCCCTCCCCGCCCCCATGACCCCCCTGGCACTTCCACATCTTGCCCATTCCTGATCCACACTCCTCTGTTTCTCCATGGACAAAGAAAGCAATTCCGCCATTCTCTGCCATCTTCTCCCATCACGCAACCGTGTGTCCCGCCTTCCCAGTCCTCAAACCCTTCTCTCAATCCCTCTACCTCAGGAGCTACTATGCTGCCTCCACCACTAATGTCCTTGAAAAGGTCCTCGGCACAGGCACTGCCATTTGCTCCACACCCATGCTGCTATCAGACCCTTGTCCCATCTCTCAGCTGACGCCATCCCCTCTACGGTTCCCTGTAGCCTCTGAGTCCATTGGCCTTGAATGCCCAGCTCCGGGCTTATCCCCTGCCACATGGGCCTCCACGCTGCCAGCAGACCCGTGGCAGGGCAAGCTGAAGCCAACCACCTGCTGCCCAGCATCGTGAGACTGAGGAGGACCACAGGGAAGCAGGGAGACTTTGTAGAGAGAGAGGCAGATGGAAGGGACAGATTCCCGAGGGATGGTGAGATAGGAGCCAGGCTATCCAGAGGAAAGTGAGGGGAGCCCCCTCAGCCCTCTGCCTCATCCTAGCCCATGAGCAGGGCCAGACTTGCCTTGGCTTCTGGCCTGGAATAACATAGAATTTATCAACACTTTTCCCAAACCCTTTTTTAACTTGAGGGTGGGTTACTCCTCATAAGCCAAATAACCCTTCTGACAGGCCACAGCTTGTTTGCATGAATGCCTACAAGAGGGCTCTGTGCACCTAGATCACTACAGAGCCCCATGGGAAAAGCCCAGTAGATCCTTGGTGTCATGGCCCACACGTGTACGGCTTCTAATTGCTCTACGACAGGAGCTCTGTTCAGAGCGCTGAGACAGCCGCTCAGATGAGGAAATCCAGCCCCGTGCAGCAACCACTCCCGGGCATAGCAGGGCTACTCCCAGCCCATTTGTTTGATATCCCTGTCCTTGCAAACGGATGTAAAGAGAAAACAGAGTCAGAGTGGAATGGGAAGAAGCTTACACTGAAATGATGCATGTAAATTTGAGGCTCCACAACAGGACGGGCCACTTGTGGGATCACAGGGCCCCTATGGCCAGCGAGCAGGAGGGTGGGGCCAGGAGTGGCGAGTGGGAACCCTGTTCTGTCTCCAGAGGCCTCCCGCCTGCCCAGACACCCAGTTGCTAACACTCATCTACCCCCAGCTGAGGTCATCTTGGGCACACCCTGGTCTCCTTGTTAACTGGCTGTGTCCCCAACAGGAATGAGGGCGACGCCCTCACTTGTCAGATTCACAGGGGAGGGCGCAGTGCTGTGGTGCCCTGGGATGTTTCCCCTAGCAGCCCGCGCTCACTGGGCACCCAAGGGAGGGGTGCAGGTATGAAGGGCCCTGCTGAGGCTGCAGCTGCAGGAACAGGCCCCTCAGTGTCCTCGCAGGCTCTTACTCCAGGGTTAGGCCCCGCTGCCGGGAAAGGCTTCCAGGAGCCTCTCCTGACTCTGTGTGGGGACAGTTTTGCTTCCTGGGAAAGTTCACCTGTCAGGGGGACTTTACAAAGTTTGGGGCGGCCGGGCGCAGTGGCTCAGGTCTGTAATCCCAGCACCTTGGGAGGCCAAGGTAGGCAGATCACAAGGTCAGGAGTTCAATACCATCCTAGCCAACATGGTGAAACCCTATCTCTAGTAAAAATACAAAAGTTAGCAGGGCGTGGTGGCACGCACCTGTAGTCCCAGCTACTCAGGAGGCTGAGGCAGAAGAATCCCTTGAACCCGGTAGGCGGAGGTTGCAGTGAGCTGAGACCATGCCACTGCACTCCAACCTGGGCAACAGAGTGAGATTCTGTCTCAGAAAAAAAGTTCAGGGCATGAGCATGTGAAAGTCCTCTGAGGTCACTGCTTGAGGCTGGGAGAAGGAAATGGCTCAGGGTCGCAGCTGCGGTCTGGGCAGAGCCGGGGCTGTTTAGACGTCCCAAGGCTCTAGGCAGGACTCACCCGCTCCTCAGCTCCGCCCCAGCCTTGTCCTTCAACTCTCGGCTGTGAAGTTGGAACACTCACAAAGCTCCAGCCCCAGCAGTGGGTGGGGGTGCTCGGGGCAGGGCTCCTAGGTCCCAATGGGGCACTGGGACCTCTGCAGATGGGGCTTTGAGGGCCTATCCCCTGGGACACAGATTGGAGGAGCCCTCACCCATTGTCACAGAGCGGGGGTAGGGCTTACCTCCCACACACCTGGGGAACTGGACTAGTGATACCCTCAGGAGCCGTGCTAAGGGTCGTGCTCTGAGAAGCTTCCCCAGGCACGCAAAAGGGAGGAGTGGGCAGGGGGCTCTGCGCCTGGCCGCATCCCCGCTGCTTCTGAGTAAAATGAAAGCAGTCAATCAAGACGGAGAGCTCTAATGATGAAAACTTTTGAGAATTTTTAAACTGCAGCCTTAAGGGGTTAACACGGCACCAGGCTGATGTTCCTAGCTCGGTTGGTTCTAGATTCTCTGATGGTTCATCATTCTCCAAGCTCACAGGGGCCATGATGTTAGGAGCATGGGGGCGGGGGCTGGAGGGAGTCTGTGGGGAAAGGATAGGCCTGGCTCTGTATGGGGCAGTTCCTGTTGCCAAGCTCGGATTGCGGGGCGGCAAGCCACCACCTTAATGTGAGAAGAGTGGGGACTAGGAAAATGACGATCCTCCACCCCAGCCAAAATAATCCTCACACACTTCAGATGATCTCTGCTAGAAAGCAAGGCCTCTAGAGAGGAAATCACTGTTTCTTTAAAAAAAAAAAAAAAAAAGAAAGAGAGAAAGAAAGAAAAAAAAAGAATGAAGGAGAAGAAGAAAGAGGAAGAGGGAGAGAACCAAAGTGTGGCTTTATTGCCCAGGCTAGAATGCAGTCTAAAGAGAGGAAATCACTTTTAAGTTCTCATCAGTCAAAATTGCACCTGAGAGTGAATGAGTTTATCAGATTCTTCCTGAGAATAGGGTTTTCAGAGACAGGGTAAGTGGTTGCACACACAAAGGCACTTGGCTCCTGGCCAGGGCAGCAGGCCAGGGAGGGGAGGGGAGAACACAGTAGGGGCACGTGGCAGGCAAACGGCAGCTCCTTCCCAGTCCGACCAGAGTGGGCCTCAGTGGCTGGGCACAGGTCACCCATCCCAGGAACCAAGACGGGTGGGCCCGGGGCTCAGTGATGGAGACATCACAGACACTCAGAGACACTTGCTGGGAGCCGACGAGACAGGTGACTCTGGAGTTCTCGAGGACACCCTGCCCCGACCCTGGATGGGAGCAGGAAGGAGCAGATGCCTCTGGCCAGGACACAGGCCCCGGCTGTGCCCCGGGCAGAGGCTGGGTCCCAGCATCCGCTGCGCCTGCAGTGAGGCGAGAAGGTTCCAGCCCCGAGAGGCTGGGCCGGGAAGGAGCTGGCTGAGTCTTGCAAATATTCCAGACCCCAGAGGCTCTGCCCAAACAGATCCAGAGGCAAAAAGGGAACAGGGGCAATGAGAGGAGGCAGGGGTGCTGCTGAGAGGCAGGGGCCGGGCACGAGGGAGGCCCCTCGAGACGAAGACGGGCAGGTCTGTCTTGACAGAGCTTGTCACACCTGTGGGGCAAAGGGTTGTTAGCACAAGGCAGGGGGGTGCTCAGGACGGAAGGGGAAGGGGGCCACTGGACAGGAAGGCATCCCTTTGCCCAAGCCTCACACCCACAATGGGTCAGAGCCCTGCAATCTGCCAGCTGGAGGGGCGGGGACTCTGCAGAGGTGCGGGCAGCGCAGCCAGCTGAGGGCTCGACCTTGTTCTCACGGTTGGCTCAGACCAGCCTGCACGCGTAGGGATGGCGCGTTCTGGGTGGACCATGCGACTGCAGGCCAATTAGCATGTGCACAGGGGTCGGTGGGGTCTCCCACGGTGCACTGCGGCCCTCCCCCGGAGGGCGAGGCCTCTCCCCACCATTCACCTCAGCGTCCAGCGAGGAGTCAGGTTTCTTTCCCCACTGAGTCCTCTTGGTAGCAGCCGACTCTTTCTGTGCCTCCTGATTGAGGACATCAGGGTGGAGACCAGGCACTAAGGCCAGGCTCTGAGGGTCCCAGCATCCCCCAGGCCCAGCATCCCC